TCATATGCGCCTATTTTTGAGCAGCTCAGCATACGCATCAATCCAAAATGCATAATTAAAAGTTCCAAAAGAACTGAAATTGAGACAAGATTAGCGAGCGTAATTAATTAATCGAGCGGATTTATGAAGACTTCCTTCCGCAAAGAGCATCCCACTGACAAAGGCTTAGAATGCTAATTTTGGCGGCTTAGCCAGCAGAAAGTATCTTGAGTTATAGAGGTGCGTCGCGATATGAGCCTGCTGCTTGCAAGCAATAGTGAGTGCATCCCATACGAGAGGTTGAGACTCTCGTTGTTTTTTGCTGGTGTTTCCACTTGAAAATCTGCAATGTCAGGAGCTTGTTCTCAGTTCCTGATGACAGTCAACCGAATTCGGAAACCATTTGCCAAAGATATTAATCTCTGAAAGTGACAACTGATTTCCTCTATTGAATTGCATTCGTTTTGTCATTATTCACATTCACATTCTCTCCTCGATAACTGCTTATGAATGTTGCTATAAATGTTGTTTAATGGAATAGTCCTGATGGGTCGTCGTCGTCACTTATTCTCAGAAGTGAATCGTTAATTGCCATTAAAACCTTGATTATGTATGCAGTACAATTGATTATTCACTGTATTGTTCAGTAATGCTCACGTTATACTCGCGTGAAGAGAATGTTCGATATTCTGTTCACGATAGCCGTATTATCACAAATGAATTACTATCAGTATTGAGAAGTTTCCAGATCCGGCGAATTGATTGTTATTGTTCCGATGTTGGTGAATATTGCTAAATCAAAGTTCAGTATTCATTAGGTGAATTGAATCCAGTTTCAATGTCATATGTTCAACTGATATCGTTAATCGATACGTAACAAAGATATAATATCCGTGCATTCATTCATCCATGCATACCTATATTCATGCCCCTGATATGGGAAGAAGATTTCTCCGAGAGCAATTATTTATTTTTGTTTTTATGTGCAGCATCGTGTTTGTGTGCATCGCGAATAGAATCTGTTTTTGATTAATCATCTGCCGGAATTTTCAATGTTGCAAATTGAGTTTTTACTTTCCACTGACTGATGTTGCGAATTGCCAGTATCTTTGTTGAGCTTTTGCGGAGGTGTTTCCAGTTGAAACATTTCAGTAGAAAGTTTGCAATGAAATGAAACTTTTTTACACTCGAATAACCAACGAATGAAGAAAATTCACAATGGATTATTGATGGTGAATAATCGAAAAATGGAAATTACGCTTATTGCGGTGACGCACGCTTATGGCGTGAATTTGTGCTGATTTGAGGTCTTCTAGTAATGTATGTAGCATCACATCGATGCAGTCCTATTCAATCTTGAGTTTGCGATTCAGTGCTTCTGAGTGCCACATTCAAAAATTACCAATTGATCAATGCCCCGTTTGTTTGGTGTTATTAGTCAAAAGTTATTCAAGTAACATCACTGCCGGTCGTTTTGCAATTGCTTTGGTTCTCNGATCAGCATTGATCGATCAGTTGAAGTGAAATGCAACTGATTCGAAGATTCGATGAGAATTCTTCGAAATTTTCTGACTCATTGGAAAATTTTGTTCTGGATTATTGCGCATTTGATTATATGCGTGGATTTTGATTTGAAGTGAATGAAGTTCGAGTAAAATCTAATAGATATACATTCAGTTGTTGAATAGGAAAATAAAGGAAGGCGTTTATTTACATCATCACATTGCATAATCTAATCTCTTGGCGTTAATGAATCGATACGCAAACGTATGATGCAAACTTTTGGTGTATCTATCGATTGTGTATTGCGGGTGTTTTGTCTTCATATCTCATCGCATCTCTTTGAGCATACCCGAATGGTGCATTATAAACTTTCTTGAGACGAGATATTAGATGGACTCAAACAATCTGCATTTTTTAGTTGGAATTTAGATCAACTTTGTCCGAGTTGGCCTGAAAAATTTACATTCCACGAGGAAACTAAAATCAACTTCAATTGACTCAGAAATTCCCGAATCAGCCTCAAAAGATTCTCGAATGCAGCAGAATCGATCTAAATTGACGTGAAATATTGTCATGTTATGAATTCGCTCGAAACGTTCAGAACAAGTTTTTGATAAACCACGAATGCAACAAAATTGATGAGTATTTCACATTGAGTGCGTACTTTCAGGTTGATATTTGCTGGCTTATGGTCCTGAACATCTTAACGTTCCAACTGTTAACAATACTAACAAGACCATTTCAAATGACGATTCAACTTCATGTTTTCAATCAATTTAAGAACTTATTGATAATCTTCACATGTTCTCATAGTAGCACAGAAAATATTTGTTATATTTTCCACTGATCGCTGAATAAATTTCATCGGAACTCACAATTAACATTTCTTCACAACTGTTTTCAATTGATTTTTTGCAACTTCGAATCAAGACTGACTCTAAAACACATATATATCTATCTAACTCATTAGATGAAATTCGCTTGTTTCGCCGCTGTCCCTCGTCTTGCGTCCAGCTGAAAAGCGTTTCGTTGATGCGTGCAGACCGCACATGTGTGTGTGTGTGTGTGCATATCGTTTGTTGTCACATCTTATGATAAGAACCCGTGCCTTCACCACTCGCTGCTCTGATAAGACCATCGTACTGATATCCGTCCATTCTGTTACAAGTGCATGCTATGCCACTGTATCGATCCATACTCGGAACGACGATGCACTGTCATTTCTGTGAAGAAGAAAAAAATCAATCAAAATTTATCGAATGAAATTTAAAGCAGTCGAACACAATAACGACTCATTCAAGTTCATAAATTCATTGTACTTCTCAATTGCTCCTCTCAACATTCACCTTTCAAAAGAGCACAAAGCTGCAACTCAGAAAATGGCTAGCAAGTAGCTGTGAGTGGGTAGAAAACAGTCAAAAAACCACCTGAATCTGGGCATCAAATGACCCAAAACCCCGCTTGAAGGGGTGCATACTGAAGTGAGGAACTGCATGAGAATAGGATCTGAAGTCAAAAACGGAATGTATCAATAAAATAGCAGTAATTCGATGAAAGTCAAAAACTTTCCCTCATACTTGTACATGTACATGATTCAATAAGAGAAGAACTCTGGTGGTTCCTTGGTTCAAGTGAAAACAGATTCAGTTTGGAATAGTGATATGATATTGAGAATCAGTTATATTGAAGCCGTATTTAAGCAAGACCGTTTGATCTACCCTGAAGAATTTGATCTACCGCTGCACAGTAACAATAGACGTCTAATGAGCCAGTGTATTTTGGTACAGTAGATTTGAGGCCATCAGAACCCTTAAGTTTGTTGCTCCGTAAGCCTGCGATATTCCAGATATTCGAATACAGAGTGATCTCGGCTATTCAAGAGCAAAACTTTTGTTGAGTCAAAATGTCGCGTCTAAGAAATGTTCAGCTGTTTCTTTGCGAACGACAACGTGAAAAAGAGTATGGAACCGATCGAGTAATGGTATTGAGATTTTAGGTTTAAAGCTCAAAATGCGGAATATGTGGATGATTTTGAAAGAGATTCAAAATAAATCATTCATGTGTTCGTAGTTTCACTTGTATTCATAGCGAAAACAAATCACCTCGGTCATGGCGAGCATCTTCAGACCATTTATTAGTGATTTCGGTTAATACTTATAACATTTCTGAAACATTCAAATGTTATCGTCCGATTATTATCATTCATATTGTTGTTAGTGTTATAATCGGTAAAGCAATTGCCTTGTACTAGTAACTTGAACTTACTAAGAACATGCAGCAGACTCAACTGATTGAGGTATTTGTGAACGCAGAATGATTAATGTTATATATTGCATGACGCGATATGTATCGATCGTTTTGTGTGTGTGTTATATTCTTAGTGCTTATTTCATTATGATGAACGAAGCTTACAACCTATCTATCTCTATCTGTTCTGCGAAGATATTTATTTATGTGTTTTATGCGTTTATCAAGCATATTTAATGCACTTGTTCAGGTGATTATTGCGATTCATACGTGTTCGCAGTGAGAAGAAGGTGATTGCATCCGAGCATGTTGTCCCCAGGAGAATGCCTTAGCAATAGGGACGATGCAGTTGGCATTTCAATGAGAGATATAACCGATAGCAATAGCAGCGATCAAGGAAGTCTTCAGCACCGGAAAAGACCATTGGTACAAAGTACGATAATCACTGCAAATGACGAGCTGATTGAGGAGGATATCGTAAATGAGCAATCGCAATATCAATTGGCAACATCTTCGTTCATTGATAAGAGCATCAGTGATTACGATAACGCACTGGTGATAAAGAACGGNGCACAGATTTTGGAAGGTGTTGATGTGCGACCTGAAAGGGTGATTGGTTTGGTAGACGCAGTGGTTGAAGGGGATCGCAACGGTTATGAGCAGTTGGAAAGTGAGGAGGGCATTAAGAAATATAATGATAATATTGGTGATATGGATGATAACAGTAAGAGGGACGGTGCTGATGAAGCGGCTGATAATAACAACGATGTCGGTGATAATGGCAGGCGGAATAAAGATTATGAGCATGATGGTGTTGGTACTGGCGAGAATAGTAATGCGAATTTTGATGTTATTGATGACAACGATGGTAATCATTTCAATGGCAGTAACAGTAGCAGTGCAGGTGATTGCAGCGGTGATAGTAGTGGAATTATTAACAATGGACAATCATATGAGGGGATCTTGAATGGTCATTTGATTTGCGATTCGAATAGAAGAAGTGTTCATGATGAGGGAGATGAGCAGATAAGTGGTAAAGGGCGATTGGGAGATGAGATGCGTTCGTGTTGTGAGGGAGGTGCTGAAGAGAGAAATA